TTCGGTTGTTGGCTGCAGCCGCCACTTCCCCTGCACAGCGTGTCCCGTGCCTGAGGGGCAGTTAGCCCGTGAGCTGTCCTCTGCGAGGGGTGAAGGGGCCTGGGATGGCCTCAGCCCCCGGAGAGATAAAAGCACCCAGCACAGGGAAGAGATTTGCTTGGACAATGAGCCAGCAAAACTCACCGGTTCTCATCCCTGGTGGTGTACCTGGGCTGGGGATCGGGGTCATCACTGTTGAAGTCGTAACTTGCCAGGGGGTCCTGTTGCAAAAAAAGGCACTGATGTGAGCAAACTGCCTTTCGGTGTGGGCTCTTGCTCAACACAGGCGCCTGGCAGCATGGGTCGCCCTGCCTGCCTGCGAGCTCACTGCCTGCCTAGCCCGGAGGGGGCAGGGGGGGGGCCCCTCCGCACCCAGCAACTGCGTGGGGTTAACCTGGAGCCATCGGAAAGGGGGGGGTCACTAGAGGAGCACAACCCTGCAGGTCGCTGTGCTGCTTCATCGTACCCAGGCTCGCGTTCACTGAGAAAGCAGAGCACAGAGAGCTGCCCGAGGGTGAGCCCCGCCGGCCGTGCGCTGAGGGGAGAGGAACTACAAACCGCTGAACGATGTCGGTATAACTAAGGTTTGCCTGTTCTTTCCTCTCCGCTCTCGGAGCACGTGAGCGCTTACCAGCTTTACTGGCTTTGCAGCTTGCTGTAATTACATCTATTTTGGGGGCTTGAGCGTGTACAAGTTCCAACGTCTCCTTGATGTGAAAATTCACCGCGGGAGACACCAAATCTTTTGATCCAGCCACGGGGAGGCTGAGTTCCCACTGCAAAGTCCCACGGGCGGGATGAAGGCACCAGCTCCCACCCTCCCCTGGAGACAAACACGCCCCGAAGGAGCCGGTTCCTGCCGCCCGCGCCGCTCAGCCTGTGGTAGTTACGTAGTTGGCAGACAGGTCCGGGTGGTCCTTCTCGATCCCATCATCCAGGACGGTCAGCACGACCCCCAGCCCCGTGTACCCTTTGCCCCAAGCAGTGAGGATGTTCAGATCGGGGTTGATGTCATTGTTCTGGAAAATGGATTAGATTTGATGAGCTGCTGGGCAGCGGGCGGTGACAAAGGCGGGTGACCTTCAGGGACTCTTCTGCTGCCTCATCACAAGTCAGCATTAGCCCTGCTTACGCGCCGGGGAGGTGATTTGCTGGAGGATTAGAAGAGAGCGACCGGCAAAATCTCACCATGTACCACTGCTTATGGAACCAGGGATCTGTTGGCACCACGCTGACGCTCCTCTTCGTGCGCCTCTTTACGGTTTGCTGCTCAAACCAGAGGACCTGGGTGGGAAGCAGTGTCGTGGGTGTCAGGCAGAGCCTTCCCCGCCCTGCACGCCTCGGTCCCTGCAACCGCCTCCTCCCTACCTTCGGATCCTTCGCCAGGCGCATGTTCCAGCCCCAGTGTCTGCTTAAGGCTTTCTGCCTGGTGCCGCGGTGTTTGAAATGGTAATAAGGCTCGCCCTCCATCACCTGCAGGCGCAAAGAGCTGTTGTAAGAGATCCAAGACAAGCAGCCGGGCTGGGGCCGCGCGTGCCAGCTCCGTGCGGGCTGCGGCGATCGGCGAGGTGCGCTCCACGCGAGCTGTACGTGGTGGGGACGAGCAGGGAGCACCCCGGGAAGGCCCACGGCTGCCCTTCGCGTTTCCTCGCCTGCCCGTGCGCACACGGAGCCTGGTAGCATAGAATAGAATCAAAGAATCGCTTTGGTTGGAAAAGACCTTTAAGATCATTGAGTCCAACCTTTAACCTAGCCCTGCCATCCCACCCCCAAACCCTGGCCCTCAGCACCTCATCTCTCCTTCTTTTAAATCCCCCCAGGGATGGGGACTCGACCCCCTCCCTG